TCCCATCGAACATTTATGGGACATCATCGAGAGGTCAGTTCGTGCTCAAAACCCTGCACTCAACACTTTCACAATTATGGACGTCTATAGAGGCAGCATGGCTCAATATTCCTGCAGGGGACTTCCAACGACTTGTTGAGTCCATGCCACGTCTAGTTGCTGCACTTCGCCGGGCAAAAGGAGGACCGACAAAGTATTAGGAGGTATCCCTTGACTTTTGTCACTTCAGTGTATCTTATTCGCAATAAACTTTAACACAGAGACTTAAACCTTGAGACGATTCCAGATTACATCAGAAGATGTAATGAAAAATTCTTCAACAAAGCTGTGCAATGTGACTTTAATTACTCCCAAGTCTAATTATGAAATTCTCTTCGAGGATAGAAGCGTCAGACCACTTGCAGCTCACACCTTCATGGGGGGAGATGAAAAAAATTTTCACTTAGCTTCTGAATTGGTAGCTGTTCATACTTCCAATGCATCTGATTTTAATTGAAGTTATTCTGTAGCTTGAATATTATTCTTGGCGAATTATAAAACTATTGCTGTGAGATTTTTCGCATTGTGATGATATAGTAGTGTTGTAAATAGGTTGCTTAAGTTGTTGTTGAGTTGCTGTAGTGCATTGCGTTGAATAGTTGTATTAAAATTGTTTTTGTTGTATTTAGCACTATTGATTGAGGTGTTTAGTTGTATTTGAATTTGCCATTGGAACTATTGCTGTAGTGCATCCTCTCGTATTGTTGTCATTGATTTGCATTGTCTTGGGTCCTCCTTGAAAGCTATGGTCGCTCGTCACGTTCTGCTAACTTGTCCGATTGGATTGTCTTGCTCCTTTTGGTACTTCTCTTCTTCCCCTTTTCTCAGTTTTCTCATCTGAGATTTTCTCCACGTCAGGATTTCTTTATATCAAGTGCCCTTGGGCTTTAATTCTGGGACCGGCAACATTGCTTTTCTCAATAGCTCGGTCAATTTTAGAGTCTATGTGCTTGTATTAACATTAATGTATCTATCGCTTATATTATTTTAGTTGCAGTAGAATAAATATGTTATTTGCTTTTAAATCTGCATTGTATTATTTATGGATAAATAGCTCATATTATCATCATCAATAGTTTCGGAGACTCAACTGCTGCTACTGAGTGCACAAAAGGTAAGCTGATTTTGCCATCTTTATTCTTCATAAACACCTACAGTGGTGGCCAAAATTGTGGAAACTTTTGGAATTTTTTATGTTTTTGAACTTTGTATGCTTATAGAAAATATTACGTTTCGCAAAATGCAAACTTGTATATATCATTTTAAAGAGAATTTATTACTGAATTCAATACAAAACACAAAATTCAATTATTTGCAAAACAAAAAAGTTATATGTACTTTAATATAAATAAAAAACACAGTTATGAAGTGGTTTGTAATGTCTAGCTTTCCTGGCCAATCACTGTTCTTGTTCTGAGAACCAATCAAATCAAATGTTAGTAACTGCCAGTAGAAGCTGACATCATGTTTACACTTGAAACAATTCATTATTTTGCTTTGTTCTGTAGAAGGAGGACATGTTTCTAATACACTGCAATTACAAGTAGGAATTTTTGTAAAAATTTTTAATATTTAGTCAAGAAGCAATGACATCAAACAAAAGAGTAGATTGGACATCTTGAAGGAGATGTAATATTATTGTGTTACGAGAAAGTGGTCTTTCCTATGCTGAAATTGCAAGACAGGTGGGTGGTTCAGTGACTACATCTGGAGTCCGAAAGTTTTGTTTACGATATCAGGAGACAAATTCAATAAAAAACAAAGAAGGAAAAGGCCGAAAAAGATGCACCACATCTATTGATGACAGAAGAATAAAAAGATTATGTGACCAAGATAGAAAAATGTCATCAGAAGTGATCTAAATGATGCTGGTGTTTCTGTCAGTTCAAGAACAATCAGGAGAAGATTAACAGATGTTGGACTGAGAGGTAAAATTCCACGAAAAAAGCCTTATCTTAATTTTCAGCAACGGAAAAAAAAAAAAAAAAAAAAAAAGACTATAGTGGGCAAAGGAACACATTAATTGGACAGATGATCTGTGGTCACAAGTTTGAACTGGAGTGATGAAACTAAGATATCGTTATTCGGTAGTGATGGGCGAAAATATGTAAGACGTGGAATAGGAGAAGAGCTACATCCTGACTGCATTCAAGCAACTGTGAAGAACCCAGTTAGTGTTATGATTTGGTCATGCATGTCAGCAGATGGTATTGGTCGCCTTCATGTCATCGATGGGACACTGAATGCCAGAAAATACATTGACACTATTCTAGAACCAAAACTTCTACCTTCCATCAGAGATCTCTTTCCCAACAATGCTTCGTTTATTTTTCAGCAGGATTCTGCTCCTTGCCACACGGCCAAAATATCGAAATAGTGGTTTCGTACAAAGAGCATTAAATTGTTGTCATGGCCAGGAAACAGTCCTGACCTCAATCCTATCGAAAATTTGTGGCACCGTTTGAAAACTCTTGTCCCAATGAGGCACCCATCAAATAAAAGGGAACTAATTGAGGCTATAATTGTTTCCTGGCGTCATGTAATAACGAAAGAAGAGCTTAAAACTCTTGTCAGCTCAATGAAACGTCGATGAGAAGCTGTAATCAAAAATAAAGGGTACCCTACTAAGTACTGATAACTCACTGCAATCATCACTATCTAATGTATATCGATAACTATTATCGTTTAACGTTTTTTGTATTGCAAACAATTGAATTTTGTGTTTTGTATTGAATTCAGTAATAAATTCTCTTTAAAATAATATATACAAGTTTGCATTTTGTGAAACGTAACGTTTTCTATAAGCATACAAAGTTCAAAAACAAAAATTTCCAAAAGTGTCCACAATTTTGGCCACCACTGTATGTACGAGATTCTAAAACATTTGAAATTTTACAATTTTTGAATATGTTAATATTAGAAAATAATTGAACTGTTTTTGAATATATTAATATTAGGAAAATATATTAACGTTGGACGGCAATCTTGAAGCTTTTCAAATTTTTCCTATTGTAAATATGACAGCTTCCGCTTTCTGTTGTTCCAACTTTTGTACAGCAACAATAATTCTATATTGGAGTATGCAATTTTTTTTTTGCGTTATTCAGTACCACCGAGCAATAAAATTAAAGACAGAGGAAAGTGAAGCAGCTAAAAGAAAAATTACAGAATGGCTAGAGCATCACAGTTGTAACACAATGGTGAAGCTCAGAAGACCTATAGAGCGGTATTACAGCGAAGCGTAAAGTTTTCATGCGTAAGATAATCTAATGAAATGGTGCTTATAACTAGTTCGATATGCCCCACATCGCATATAACCCAGTTTACGTAGCTGCACTCACCTCTGCCATTATGAAGTTCTCTTACTACTATTAAGATGTTAAGTCTTTCTAGGACTCGCTCCCTGAATGTGAAATAACTTCAGGCGCTATATTTTGACTGTTCTATAAATTATCTCCTTAAAAAGGCCCCAATGAAAGAAATCGAGATGGAGTGGATCAATGACCCCGGAAACTTGTCGAAGGCCTTGTCTTTCAATTCAGCAATCTGAAAACGCGTAATTCTAGCACAGACATAAAATGTAAACTTGCGCTATACTGGTATCCATGTTTCTAAGAAGAGAAATATTAATGGATTGGCAAAGGCGCAGTTTGGTCACTAGTAAATTAGTATTTCAGATGCTAAAATATTTCCTAAAATTTTCAAAAATATTTAATACGAAAAGGGATATCAGCTTGTTTAAGTACAAGAAAACAAAGCTTAAAAAGCTTATGAAAAACTAGTGCAAGTACTATTGGACCGACAGATTTAAATGCTTTCGTGACTCTCCAACTTTAATTGCAAAATAATACAAAAGCAGTTTTTAAATAATATTTTAGAAAACATAAATCTGATGATTTAACTCCTTAAAATGCCTTTCATATATACTTTTAAGAAAGTTTCTTTTTAATTTTAGATGCCGGCATTGCATCGTCATAATAAGATTCTCAAGAATCACGTAGAAAAAATTTGTGTCTCAAGAATTTAGTGCTTGAAGCAAAAGGAGAATTCATTTTATTTGCAGGCTATTCTCCCTAAATACAAATAAAGAATTTCGTTTATTTTTTACGACCGAGTACAGGGGGTATTTGCTCAAGATGAGAAATACATTCCTGGAGAACATTTTAAGAAGAAACTGGATCATATTTACGCAAATACACGTCGAAAACCACGCGTACAATCAACTCTTGGCCAAGATCCGAACTCTGGTTGAACTATAAATGTTCAGAGTCTTAACCACTTTGGACGCATACTTAGGGGAGGGCAATTTCATAAAGATTTTCTGAGATCAAAACTGGTTATCTTATACATAGGAAGGAGCATGAAAATGCCTATTTTGTAAGATTTTAACCTGGATCGATCCGGGATTTATGAATGGGTTACTGTATCTTTATACTAAAATTAATGAAATGTTAATTTTATTGTGGCAGTTGTGTTTTTACATACAAGACAAATAAAAGTACAAGAAGAGTAAAAGGGAATCAAGGCAAGTTTCCCTTCCTCAGAAGAATTTGTAAGTTATTGCAAATTGCAATGAGCATTTGCTGAAGCACTCTATCATCTATTCAGTTAGTGTTTCAGTGAGGATCGAAGGACTCTACATAAAATAATGAGAAGCCTTAAATCAATGCATATAATTCAATATTTTAGCATCTCAAAACTTTACTTTTGAAAATCATAAGTTCAGTTAGTCGTTCGCTACCTTGTAAGTGTATTTCATGGGTTCCGGTTAGGTTATCAGTTTAAAATTAATAATTTGAGATTATCTTTAATGGTTAGAATTAAGAAATAACTTCTGTTCAAATTTGAAGACATTTTTAATCACCTTCCAGGAATTTTTCAAGTTTCCTATTATTCTAACTAAATGATTAACCATAAAATAATTTTAACTGCCTTAATGGATCTTAAAAAGGAAAAATTACCAGTAATCAACAAGATATGAACATCCCAAAATGCCAGCAATAGAGGAAATCGCCACTATGTGTCCTTCACCTCTTTCCAGCATACGAGGTAGGAATTGACGAATGGTCTACGAAAACAAACATTTATTTTAGGTTTCATTCGTTTCGGCAAAATATTTAAATATTAACAAAATGAAATTTGGTCATGTTTCAATTTGTTGTGCTAGAACTTATTATAAGCTATTCAGAAAATGATTACAAGATATCACTGGTAGTATTCCATTATGTAGCATACAGTTCGTTGCTTTAATATATTATATTATAGGTCAGACAAGTGAGCATTAACCAATAACTTCAATATGTAGTTGGAAAACAGGCAGCGTTCATGAGCTTGCACGAGTTCCTCCTCGAGATTAAAACACTTAGCATTTTCTCTTTTCTAGAAAGTTTGCTTTGTATGCGAAAACGATTTGAATACAGTATTACTACTGATTTGCCAAAATGATTTCTTTCGTTTTGCTTACTGTATTTGCTATTCTGCTTAATAGGTTTGTTTCTTAATTCTTGTTAATTCTGTCTGTAGTTCTGCTAAACAGGTTTCGGAATAAAAATATTCCACTGAAAATACATTCGGTTTGAACTTAGCGCACATATTTTATGGCAAAACATGTTCAGAAAATTAATGGGCAGAGCTGACATCAAGTACAAGTGACATAAGCTACCCCCAAGATCGCGGATTTGGGTAGGATGCGAGGTAAACGTTTCTTACAAGCGACAGTTAAATAGAGGTATATTTCGCTTTGAATTATTTGTATGTTTAATGCATACGAAGAGCCAAATGTACTGATCATCTAACGAACAGAAAATGCTGAAATCAGGGTTGTTAGGTGGACAAAATTCCTTTGATAACGAAACCGAAGAAATTAATAACTCTAGCTAAGATTAAGTGTATTCTACAAATACGACAAATCAATGTAGAATTTTAATGGTTTGGTTTCGTTTATTTGGTTATGACAAAGCGCATGAGGGCTGTCTGTCTAAGGGAAGAGATACCTTCGTAGAGGAATTTCTAAGGGAAACTGTCTCGTATACACATGGGAGAAAACGCGAAAACGCTCATGAAACCATTCCGTTTCGCCGGGATTCGAACACCGCGCCTAACTACCTATGTCCAGCTACTTTACCGCTCGGCAGCTGTTATGCATTAAAATTTCAAAGGCTTCTTACAAGATAAATATTCAGTAATAGCAGATCATATTTCACTTCTTAAACACGTTTCTAGATAATATTGAAAAGACCTGGAGGTTGTATTTTACGTGGCTGGTCTGAAATGAAATACTGAAATATTCAAATAATCAAAAAATTTCATCAAATTAATACATTCAAACTCCTCTTTATTTATGCTAGGTGTTTTCAATATTCGATTAACAAGTAACCATCAATTAGAAAACTGACGCGGGATCAGGCCCAGGAATATAAAGCTATCTTGTACGGTTTAGCAAAATGCAAATGAAAATATACTTTCGAAATGTTCATTAACGCCGCCCAGACGGAAAAGTGTTTGGTGACTGACTATCGTATCGAAGGGCCAGGGTTCGAATACGGCAGATGGCATGGATGTAAATTGTCTGTCCTTCATAGGAGGTAACAGTAGCCGCCTATTGACCACCTTTTCTAGTGGCCAAAGCCTTTAAAACGGCTAATGCCCACTATAAAAATTCATTAACTAACTGAAATTGTCAAAATTTAAAACCGAAGGAAATCTTGGTTAATCTTAGGATTATGGTAACTTGGCGATTTTTTGGCGAAAGTTTGGCGACCAACCCTGCTAAAGCAACCTGGTGTTTTTTTTTTTTTTTTTTTTTGGACGCCATTTTGTTTTCACGAAGTGAAGCTTTTTTTTTTAACTCAACATTTTTTTCCAACAATCTCCGACCGATTACGCTTATGCTAGAACTTTTAGGAACAAAAGCTTAGTCATGACGAGATTTAGGTGCGAAATTGGGAGAAGTGCAGAATCGCACAGCTGCCGTGTTTTTAAGAATTGCATATACACGGTATCATATGTCCACGTCGACCATTTCACTTGAAAGAACATCCAGAATTGCACAAATGCATTGCGCACACTCTGACTTTATCCATGTACACTGCTAAATCCTAGCTAGTAACCTTATCGCCTCCAAAATGTCGCCAAACTACCTGTTACCATATTCCAAAGATTAGCCGAAATCTTAGTAAACTGCAATTAAAAAAAGTCGAAGTCATTAGTAAAAGCCAAGTCATTGCAACTGTATCTAACAATATAAAAGTCGAATCTGTTGCAAGCCTACTCTCATGGAAAATTATTAAAAACAAGGAAAGCACTTTTCATTAGGAAAAGATTGCTTTATTGAATTAGATTATTTGATTATGGCAAATCACATTAGGCAGCATGCCTCCAAAAATATACGTATAATTTTAGTGAAATAAAGGTATGTTATCTTTTGCACGTTACTTTTACGAAAATTATACGAATAAAAAGAACTAAAAATATTATCGACATTTTAACGTATTTCCCACTCGTTACTTTTACGAAAATTATACGAAGCCAAATGTACTAAAAGTATCGATATCATTCTACTTTCCATTCATTACGTTCAAGAATATTATAAGAAGTCAAAAAACCTCGAGAAAATATGTGGTTCAGAGTATCTGTTCATTATTTTTGCATTTTACGTTTGTTGCTCTTTTTCTTCGAACAAGAAAAAAAAAATTAATGTCATATTCTATTTATTTTTTCGAAGCTAAAAAAATCTTTCTTTTTAACGCGTTCACGCCAGCGCGGGCCACCGGTGGCTCGCACTAGTCTGTCTCATCGGGCAGCACGTACCACCGGTGGGTCCCACACTAGTCTGTCTCATCGGCGGCGCGTGCCACCAATGGTACGCATTCGATTGTTTTATTAGAAGCTGAAAATTAAAATAATGAAAAATTAACGTTTATTTTATTATAAAAACTTTTTAATAACAAATATAATTAATAACTATTAGCAAACGGACAACTCGTATACAGGTTTGAACAGGTAATAATCGTGCTCCGCCAGATGAAACGCGGCAAAAATTCGAGTGCAGTCTCACGGCGAAGAACATAAAAATTGGCCCCGGCATGAACGTGTTAAAGATCTTTAAATTGCAGGGGTATTTTCGTATTTTTTCCCCATGTATAACGCGTATACGAGCCGTTTTCCCTTAGAAAGTCCTCCACGAAGGCATTCCTCCCGTTAGGCAGGTAGCCCTTGAAAGCTAAATAAACCTAAATACCGAATACAGGTCAGAACTACCAGTTTTCAGAGCGATTTTACCTCTCGGCCGCTGGCGGGCTCGTATCGCATGACAAAAACCAATTTTGAATGGATAGAACCAACTGTTTTCCTCTTCTCTTTTCGGAATAAATTTACAGTGTAAATTTCCGTTTTATCGGAAAAAAAAAAAAAAAAAAAAGGGGGTTCGATAACACACTGAAATTATTTTTGAAGTACATAACGATGTAAAAATTATCTGCTTAATCAATGTAAACAAGAAATTTAAAACTATAAATCTAACTATGTTTGGCTGTTTGAGATTTTACGAAATTTTAATCTCAAATTTTCATCAGAAAGTTCGTCATTGGCTATCAAAAGCACCATGTTTAAATTATGTTTTCGGGTTATCTAGTTATTAGTTTGAGATAGTTCTTAATTAGTCCAAAAGGGGCTATAAATTTCGAAAGGGTATTTTGAGTTGAATAACTATAAAAGGGCTGTGTCACTTTTCAAATTGTTGCTCCTTTATATCGCCCTGTATTATTTTTAAAGAAATTAATAAGAATCTGCATGAATGTACGTTTCTCGCATTGTGTAAAAAAGACGGATCTGGAGCCATCAAATTTTGAATATCGCAGTCTTCCACCCGAACATGAGCACATGAAAGCCCGAATTTGGAGTTTGTTTTATTATCTATTTCATATTTTTTAAAACGTTAACGAATTTTTAATTAATAAACTCAACGATTTCAAAGCGAGCAGCGGCAACACAACACGGAATAAAACATTTTAATCATCAGTGCGCGAGACTGTCCATCGGAAATTCTAAAGATATGCTGTTTTGAAATATTTCGCGATTTTGCTATTGAATTGATTTTTATGTGGCGTGAAGTGCGAATAACCTGATATTTAAACGCACAGAACGTTCATAATAAAACGACACACAAAAGCGTTTTGCAAGCCGTTTAGTTAGAAAACTGAATATTGATAAGATAAACTGAGAAGAGAGTGAAAAAAAAAACAGAAAATGTTATGCCGACAATTAACACTGCAACGCTGCTTTCAAAATTTCTGTAATTCTGCTGTTGTATTGCATATGACGTAAGTAGGAATAAAATGAATAATAATAAGGCTAAAAGGGGGATAAAAGGACTTTGCATGAGTGAGTGCAATAGCAGGTTGTTAGATTGTAAGCTCAGCGAGAGCGTAAAAAACATTAAATCCTTTTGAGCGCCAGTTAAAATCTGAGACCATTTAGTTTTGTTTTGTTTTTTTTACACGAACGCAAATCTGTGTTCTCCTTTTTTTACTTGAAATAAATTTTAATTTTTTTCTTTTCATTTTTCTTTTTTGTTTTACACATGTAAATTATATATTTCTAGATGACTAGATTCATATATATTTTATAAAAATAATTGAAGTTTAGGGTTTGAAGACTTTTCTTGTCGGAAAGGCATCTTATACACTTACTATTAACAAAGTTGTAATTTCATTTTTTTACTTAAAATCTAAAAAGAATGCGCCTGAAACTTCATAAAGCTGTAAGGCTTGGGTTAAAGTTAAATACTATGGCTAGTTCCTACCAATATAACATTCTAAATCAAAGAAACTATTTAGATGACCAAGGACTGATTGGATTGTATTTTGGCAAATGATATGAGGGTTATCGGTCTAAGGGTAGGGATGCCCTAGTAGAGTTTGTTCTTAAAGATAAATAGCTCAGCTCGTATTCAGATTACACTTGCGAAAAACCACGAAGATATCCATCCAAGCAATTAATTTTTCAGAATTTAACTCTGAATCGAATTACAAACATTCAATTTTCTTATTACTCGGTCATATGCGGGCC